ATTTACAACAGAGATAAAATCAGAATCTCTTCTTAGTCCCTATGGTTAAGAATTTTACCCCCCCCCCTCTCTCTCTTTTCCTGGGTGCTGCCTCTGTCTCTCAAGTAAGTAATTTTTTAAAAGTGTATTTTAAAGATCAAATTATCATAAAATTTCATATTGGCAGGGAAGGCTTTAAATCTACATTTGGGCTCCAGACAGGGGACTTGAAAACCAAAGTCACACATAACACTACTATCTCAAGGAAATGTTTCTCACTTTTAATAGTGGAAGAGAAAATTCCAATAGAAGGGTAGGCAGGCTGAACCGAAGGCCGTGTCAGATGAAAAAACCATCAGAGACTGTTGGCACAGGCAAGATGGCATCCCAACAGCAATCATGTTCTTTTGTTATTTTTTTAAAAGCTTGCACTTCAAATCATTTAAGGTAAATGCTGCTACTAAAATAATTTTCTGCTTTTTAAGGATGAATTTGTGAGGTGGCAAAGTACTCCTACAAATTATCATTGGATATCTCTAGCTGTTAGCGCGGGGCGGGGGGGAGGATTGGAATTGACATGGTGTAGTCATATATGAAATTTTACAAAACAAAAAGCAGAATCAAATACAAGGAAATGTGCACCAAAAACCAGCTAAGTGATAGCTTTTCAAGGTTCTCAATAAACAAACACACTACAGGGTTACAAATACTGCATGATTAGTTTATGGTAAAATATAATGAATGCAATAACTTTAAAATCTAGTATACTGGAGAACAATGCTATATACTCTGTATAACTTTAATTAATTTTTTTAAGTTGCAGTCAGTTTCAAATAAATGATAGCAGCAGAAACAGAAGCTCATATGAATATCCACAATGAAAACCACTAGTAGTTTCCATTTAAACAATAACAGCCCAATAGTGTGGGCAATATCATTGAAAGGAGAAAGCGAATCCATGTATAGTTTGAGAAAATCAGTAAGAACGTGTTCATATGTCCTCTGCAGATTTTACTTGGAGCATCTAAAAAATTGGTCACTCATAATCTTGATTTTAGGCAGGAAACAGTGGTCTTTCCTAAAGAAATAATTAACTGGTAGTTTGCTCTACTTTTTTGGAGTTTAAGTTTGGCATATTCTCATTTCTGATGTCTTTAAAACAATTCTACAATCCTGTGTTCATTCAGTCCTGATCTTTATACTCTTAGCAGTTTTAGAGCAGGTGGGAACAGTGACCTGCTTTTTCAACCATTATATCCCCCAGACATGACTAATTTGAAGCTGAGCAAATTGCACATAATGGGCAAGGGATTCGAGTTCATGATTGTTAATCGGCTACACTAACAGGGCCCATGATCTTCCCCTCCCTCTCCTTCCTCTGCCTGTACCTGCTTCTCTATGAACTAAATTCACCAAATGTGAAATTAAAGGAGACATGTTTTTTTTTTATTTCTGCAGGCTTGTTTTTAAGGAAGATAAAGATGTAGCTCTATCATTAAAATTGTTTTATTTTCCTTTAGGGAATCTTAAATTTTTAAATGGGTTCTAAATACTAAAGAAACTAGTCACTTAGGAAACCTCCTGAATATGTAAAACAATCAAATGCACGGTTTTATTGGATCTTGAAGTTTTTTCTTTTTTATGAAAGCTTAATACAGACTGCTGAATTTATAAATACCCTATTCTACCATACAAGCTACTGCTTTCAGATCCTGTTTACAAAATCCTACTATTGGTTTGACTTGATATAGACACTGAACAAGAAAAACAAATAAGGCAAGCAAAACAGCAACAAAAATAAAATAAAAAATAAGGTTCATAAGAATGCTATTGGGGCAGGGGAGTATTTAAGTTAGCTAAATCAAAACCCAATCACTCCTAATTCTTTTTATAGTTAATATTTAAATTTTTTCCCATTAACTCTGGAAGGCCACAACCAAACACTAATCAAAATGTCACATTCAACACTAAACATTGGACGAGTTACACAATTTTAGAACTGAAATGGACATTTAACTCATTACCCTGCTAATGAAGAGACTGAACCCCTCTTGGCTGGGTCACTTTAGGGCTTCCATTTGTTGTTATTTGGAATGTGGGTGTCAGTTGTTTCTGTGCTATTGAATATGCATATGTGGTACTTCACAACCCTAAGAAAGGAGGGGTGCCATCAAGAATATCTCCAAGTTTCTTCTCATTGAGGACAATAGCAATCAAAAGGAAATACATATGATGTCCAGTTCAAAGGGTTCACCTCCTTTTCTGGCTCAGCAGGCTGCCGATGTGTTAGAAACACAGTAGCACACAGGGTATCTGACCTTGGAAGCAGCAGAGGCATGGGCAGTGGTGGAGTCCCCTCGCTGGGCACAGGAGGAAGAGCCATAGGAATTTTGATGGCTTTCCAGCCTACACAATGATCCTGTTGCCTACTGGTTCCATTTGCCTATTTTACTGATTTTTTTTTTTCTGTTTCAGCTGTTTTCCAGTTTAGGGAAAGGTGGGTAGAACACATTATTATCCTTTTTTCTTGAAAATTCACTTCCTATGTTTGGCTTTTAGAAGCATGCCCAAGTTACTAGATTTTTGGGTGGGCAAAATCAAACAAAATTTATCAATCAAACAAACAAAAAAAAAAACACCTAACTTTCTGAATGGGAGTCACTGATCAACCAATTTCATCTGTACAGTCTTTGAATCAGACTAGGGACCGGATCTTTGCAACTGGGATGGGAGGTAAACCAGCAATGAACACACACTGTCCCAGGGAGTGTGACAGATAGGTATTTTTCTTTTGTGGAGAAGTTGGAACTAAAACATCTCATCAACTGAGGGAAATCCACCTGCTCCTCCTGACCTTTGGAGGTTGTCATATCTGGTCACTAAATTCTCTCCAGATAAACCCCGCTTTGAATCAACAAGGCTTCTTCTGATCCTAGAGCAATGATAATGTCCTGCACCCACTCCAGGAGCCTGGGACCGCTTCAGTAGTAACAGCATTCCAGAAACTATAGCAGTTCTGGAAGTGCCCTAGGAAACCTAGAACACGGATAATGGGCTGTTTAAAACTGGGAGATCAGCTTTAGAAAAAGAAATACAACCAACAAACACCAGGAAACTCTGTGTTATGGTTCGCTGCTTGTGCAAAAACCTCAAAGAGGATGAAGGTCAGACAGGGATAATAGGCCAATTTAATTCTGAAAGCACAAGGTGCAAGAAATTTTAATTATGGTCTGCCACTGAAATCACACAAGATCCAATGGCATCTAACTGCAACTGCTCATCAAGGGAGACAAGAGGTGTAATTGTAACCGCTGCATAATCACTGTGAGGGCACAGGGAAGGCTGCCTTCAGCTCCCAGCAGACAAGGTATTAAGAGCCTCAGAAAAAAAAAATCCAATACAGAGAAACAGAGATTACAAATAGTCACAGGAGAGCGCAAACACAAAAGCCAAACCGGTGTGTGTGTGTGTGTGTGTGTGTGTGTGTGTGTGTGTGTGTGTGTGTGTGTGTGTGTGTGTGTGTGTGGTGTGTGTGTGTGTGTTAGGGCTGAGGGTTCCAGAAACACAAAGATGAAGTGTTGACTGAATCCTGGCAAACTCTAAACTCCTGCTTTGTGAACACAGGCACGCAGGGAGAAAGGCATGGATCTCCAGGAATTTCTATCCTGCTTGAAGCTGCACCCACTCTCCTTTGTTTAACACAATTAGCTCAGATTTACAGTATCAAGCTCCTTTTAACTTGTCCGCACCAAATCAAGTCTGGAGGCAAAATGCCACGCAGAGATGCCCAAACCGGTGAGGGGTTTCAAGGCGCCGTGGCCCGCGCGCGGACCGTTGGTCCACAGCCCCACGGCGCGGGCTCCCGCAGAGGCACGCGCGAGGACGGCCCTGAGTGGACTCCGTGCACTCGGCAAACTTTAACAAAGCCGCGAAGACAGGAAGCCGATCCTGCCATCCGCGCCAGCCTGAGTTGGAGCTTAAGTTTGTGCCCGGCTGTCCCAAATCTTGAGGGGTGAGGGATGCAAATGTGAGGAGGGGCCGGAGGCGGGTGGCGCCTTAGAGACCTCAAGACGGAGCTGGGGGGCGGTTCCGAGGGGGACGGTCTGGGACACAGCAGGCACCCGGAAGCCCGTTTGGCGCACGCCACGGGGGGTCTCCCGGGGAGGACCCCAGCCCTTGGGGGCTCATGACCTGTCACCTGCGGGGCGCTCTGTCCGGAGAACTGGGGGAGGATCAGGGGCGGCAGACTCCCGGCTCGGGGGGCTCTAAGAGGTGGGGGAGGGGAGGTTCGCTCGAGGGCAGGAGGCCAAAAGCAACACCTTTCGGATACGTTTTTCCCCTCGGACCACTCCAACTTCCCGCGGCGCCCGCCAAGCACTCTCCCACCCTACCCTACCCTAACCCACGGCCCCGCCCACTGCTCCGACCTGACTGCGGTCACCAGAGCCGGTGGGGAAGGAGTGCAACAAGGAAACCCTCCACCGGCGCCCCACAACCAAGACGAGCAAATGCATTTCGCACCGGCACCAACCACAGCCTTGCTGCAGAGCCCCGGGTCTTGCGCCGGGCGCAGTTCCCCGACTCTTCTGTTGTTCTTAATAAAGTCCATTACGTTGCCCTCCCGGAGCCGATTGGAAGAGAACAGGGTGGAAAAGGCGAGGGGGGTGGGGGGAAGACGCGGGAAAAAACAGGGTGGGGGGGTGCGAGCAATCAACTTTGTAACCCAGCGCTTCCTCGCGCGATCCGTCGCCATGCTTAGATTCCCACCCCCGCCACCCCCTCCTGCCTTTCAAGTGGATACTGAAACTAGGCCAAAACTTTTTCCCCTCCTTTTCTCTTAGCCACTAGACTGGATGGTGCCCCACGGAGCCCCATGGAGCTCTGCTTTCTTAAGCACAATAGCCGGACTAATTAGATCATAGAAGCGAGGCAGTGATACTGTAACAAGTAGCCCGAGAGGCGAAGAGGGAAGGGGCCCGAAAAGAGAGAAAGGGGGAAAAGTTTGCAGCTCTCGCACTTACCAATCAAGCCTCCCACCAGAAAGGCGATGACTTGGAACACGAGCAGAATCCCCCCGACAATGCACAGCTTCTTGGTGCTCATGTTCTCTATAATTGCCCCAGCCATGTTCGCGACCCCCTCCCCTTTTTTTCTTTCCTCCTCGAAATAAATGTTTTAGGGTGTGCTTTTTTTGGATTTTTTTTTTTTTTTGGCCCCTTCCCTTCTCTTGCGCCCTCCTCCCTCGCCCCCTTGCTGGGCGCTGCAAAACTTCTAGGGTGCGGGAGCGCGGCAAGGATGGGACCCGGACAGAAGGCGCCCGCACGGATTCCTCCGGCGCAGCCGGCTCGGGCTCCCCCAGTGCCCGGAGCTGTGATTGTGGCCGCTCCGCCGCCTGTGGACGCTTAAAGGAGCAGGGAAGCGGATCACATGACGCCGCCTCCCTCCCTTTCTTCCTCCCTCCCTCTCGCGCTTCCTCCCTCCGTCCCTCCCTCTCTAGCTTCTACCCCTCGCCCGCCAGCCCCGGGATCCGAGCTCCGGCGGGAGCTGGCACCGCGCTCCCTGCAGTCTTGTCCCGCCTCGGGACCGGATCGTTTGGACACTGCTCAGCCTCTCGCACGTTTTCCCTCTGCTTCCTAAAGTGCAAGGCTGAACCCATCAGGCGGGCCGCCCGTCAGCCCTTTAACTTCCACGCTGACTTCAGTAAGGAACCCTCCCCACCCTCAGCTGCTGCAACTCTATTTAGGAAAGAGGAGGAGACACATTTAAAGGACGCTGACAGACATGCCGAGAGAGATGCAGGACCCACTCTCAGTTCAGCTTCTCTTGGCTGGTTCTCAGTCTGGGGTTCAGCTAAATCCCATCAGGAACCTTGCGCCCTGGCCCTGTGCCTTCCTTCACCCCCACGGGGTTTGCAGAGCCTTCATCCTGGCTGTGACGGTAAAGAAAACGTGTTCTGCATTGTGAGCCTGATTCAAAAACCACCTCATGTGAAAAGCCTTTCGCGCTGGCCACACCACTTCCGTGTAGTGTCTCTGGGAACTGCAGCCCGACGTTTCTCTGTTTGCATTTTTATCATCTATTGTAAGGACTTGGTGTGTGCACGGTGGTCTCCACACCCGGAGTTGTTAATTCCTAATGGGTAAGAACCCAGTTTTGTTCGTATCTCCCCCACGCCCATCCCCGTGGTGCCAAGCAAAAGTCTAGCTCTAATAGGTCCTCCTCTGTAAACTTTTGCGGAATGAATCAGTAAATGAATGTGAAAGCAAGGCCAGCATTTGCATTTCAAAAGCATAAAGTTGGTTTTAGATAGTACACATATTGCAGTGCTTGTTGTCTCTGCGAGCACACACAGTCATGCGTGGCTTAACCATGGGAATGGCATTGTTGGGCGATTTCGTGGTTGTGCTGACATCATAGGGTGTACTCACACAAGCTGAAAGGGCTACAACATTACAAAATGACCCAAGAAAGTTAGGCGGGGAGGCCTTCCTGTGCCGGTAAGCCGAAATTCCTGGACCTGGTTTTTCCATGATTCATAAATGGGCCATTTGGCCTTTGACCGGTAATTTGGTGAATATCCTACCCCCAACACACATGCGCAGTCTCCACTCCCATCCTATTAAGCCCTCCTAATGCTAAGCCTCTGTGGATTATAAGTCCTCTTTCCTTTCCCACTCTACTCACACTTTCAGGGCCCTTCCAGAAAATGCCAGACAACTCAGCCGTAATAGAAACATCCATCTCTAGTCGGCAGCAAGATTGGACAAAGGGGTATTTCTTGAGGGAAGGGAAGGGATGGAACTTTTCTTCACCAGCCTCAAGGATCACAACTTTCATTTTTGCAACAAATTCTGTTAACAAAAGACAGGTTTACAACAGGAAAGTATAACACATATATTTAGTTGATGTTTTATGTGACATTTCAGTCCTCAAATTAAACTTCTGAAGATCCCTGCCCCCTTCCTCAAGCCATCTGGGTTAGTGCTTAGTTTCCATGAAGGCTAGACAGTTGTACAGACATTTTGTTGGGCACAAAGGATATGCGCTGACAGAGACAGACCCAACAAGGCCTGTCCAGATTCCTCACAGCCTCTCAGTTGGGAGGTTTCTCTTTTCTTTCCAAGTATGGAACAGAATGTCTCTGGAATGACAGAATTTGTTTATAGCCAGTTCTAACACAGACAGGCAAAGGATGGCCTGGGAAAGACTCTGAGGGTTCCATGGCTGGTTTCTAAAAAGTGGTTCTAGAAGAATTCAAATATCTGTGAATTGTCTACTGAAGGAGTTGGAAATTGGGAGGACAAGACAAAGACAGGAGGGCAGAGGAAGGCCAGAGAGAAAATGCTTTCTGAGGCTGTGACCTAGGCTATTCCTTTCACGTTGCACTGCTTAAAAAGATGCACTGCTTAAAAAGAGATGGTGTGCCACCTACCCTTGGTGTGCACTGTGTCTACAAGAAATATCTTTGGTAATTGAATTTATTTCAGATTAGTGAAGCCCTTGAGCCACTTTTCCATCAGTTGCTCCCTTTGGTTCCAAATATGATTCTTGCACAATCACTGGCAGAATTCCTTCAGCTCAGTTTCCTCATCTGGAAATGACAGGCTTAGAATAAAATTGCAGTAAACACCAGCCAGATGAAGCCCCATTCTAGATGGCAACCAACTACAAGAGGGGCTTTAAAAAAAGTTCATAGGAAATCAGAATTTAAAATAAGTTTACTTTGCTTCAAAAAACTGAGATACATACATAGTTTTCCAAGTACACCTGTCCCACCAACATACGAAACTTATCTCCTAAAACCATTATTATTAAAAAGAAACATTTCTAACTGGTGGTCAGTACTTCTGACTTGCATGAGGTTACTAATATACTGCATAACTGATTGTGGTGCAGACACTGTCAGTACTCATCACCATGAATTGCTTTTTTAAATTTTTGGTTTTATTTTAAACTAAAATATAAAAGCTGTTCACATTCGTATGGCTCTGGATGATCTTTTGATACATGTATATGTTGTGTGCTGTACAAATTAGGGTAAACATATCTATCTCCTCAAATATTTACAGTTTCTAGATGGTAAAAGCATTCAAAACTAGTCTGGGTTTTTATTTAAATTACAGTTTTTATTATGTCTTTTTTAATGTTAAAAATGATAATCAAATCTATTTTTAAGGGGACAACATAGATGAATTTTAAAAAAGAGAGGATGAGTGTTTGTATCAGCTAGATCTGAAACATGTTTATGAACTGACTGCTCATTGCTTAGCATGATTACAGAGACTGTCCAAGCCTGCTAAAATCTTGATCACATTTTCAGGTCAGTATCGGAAGAACTTCCCAGCTACCTTCTAACTGGTTAGAGATCACCAATGCAGAACTTTTAACCTGTAGGTTTCTGCCCAGTAAGGAGGGATCAGGGAATGCTTAAAATCCTAAGGCCTTTCCTCAAACCTTTGATGTCTCTCTCTCTTCTTTCAAAAGTCACCTCATCTCCTCATCTCACTTTGGAGGTGCTTTCCATTTCCCTCTTCTTTTCACATTCGCCTGGTCACTTCACAAATAAAACTTCTTTGTCTGCAACCAATTCCTGGCTTTTTATATCTGTATCCAGAACCCACTGAGCTTTTCTAGTAATGCAAAGCATCCTATTTACCTACTCTAAAGCTGAGTTTTCTCCTCTGTAAAATAGGGAAATTAAAAGCACCTGCCTTGTAGGTATCCTGTTGATGGGGTTATTATTCTACTTAGAAAAGTATAAAGGGAATCAGTAAATTTGTATTAAAAATCTGTAAAACTTGAGGGTCTTACAGATTGTTTGGGACATCAGTGTCCAGTGTCTGAAAGCTTGCTTTGAGTCTTGGCTATCTTGCTTCTGCTCAAGTTTTTTGTTTGTTTGTTTGTTTGTTTGCCCCATCATGCAATGGGAGATCCTGACAGAGTTCCTGGCTCCTGACTTCAACTTGGCAGAGCTCTGAATGGGAATTTGGAGAGTGAACCAGCAATAGAAGCTCTCTTTCTCTCTCTTCCTATGTATGTGTCCCTCTTTCTGTTACTACACCTTTCAAATAAATCCTTTTTTAAAAGCACCAAAATTGATCACTGACTAGTTTTTCTGACCTTCAATGTTTTTATCATGTTATGATTACATTTTGAACTATTATAACTCTGGAGGTTACTTTACTTGCCAAGGGGTTCTAGTATGAATTTCTAGTATTGAACACAAACAGTACTCAGTGAATTTTAACACAGGTTACTGAACATGTGGTCAGTATTGTTAAATATTGGGTCATTTGTTTTATTAATTTGAAAGAGAGAGAGGTCTAATTCTTTGGGTTCATTGTTCTAATTCCCATTTCAGCTAGGTGTAGGCCAAGTTGAAACCAGGAGGTAAGGATTCATGTCTTGCATGGGAGGCAGGGACATAGCTTGAGTCATTAGCTGCTGCTTCTCCAGTTGCATGATATCAGGAAACTGGAATTGGGAGCATTGTCAGGACTGAAGCCTGGGATGCAGGCAGCATCTTAACAACCAGACTAAATGCCTGCTATAGTGCCCAGACATCTATTATTATTATTAATATAAGATTTATTTATTTTTATTGGAAAGGCAGATATACAGAGAGGAGGAGAGACATTGAGGAAGATCTTCTGTACAGTGATTCACTCCCCAAGTGAGTGCAACAGCTGGAACTGAGCCAATCTGAAGCCAGGAGCCAGGAGCTCTTCCGGGTCTTCCACACAGGTGCAGGTTCCCAAGGCTTTGGGCCATCCTCAACTGTTTTCCCAGGCCACAAACAGGGAGCCGGATGGGAAGCAGGGCCACTGGGATTAGAACCAGTGCCCATACTGGGTCCCAGTGCGTGTAAGGTGAAGACCTTAACCACTATGCTATAGTGCCGGGCCCCAGACATCTATTATTAACAAACAAAAACCCTGGACTACCAAGAAAATGTTTTCAGACAAGAGGTAGTTTATTATAGAATAATCCATTGGGTGCAAATCAACTCTCTGCCAACAGTAACTGATCATTTCAACTACAGTTCAATGGATATTATTCTGAAAAACAAAACAAAACGATGATGAAGTTATATTCCCTTGCCCACTTTTTAAAAATAATTTAAATGGAACAAATTTCACATATATTGCAATGCAGATTTAGGAATTTAGTGAGACTTCTCACTCTTTCCTCCCTCATCCCTGCATTCCTAATAAAAATGAATAAATCTTCAAAAATACATTTAAGAAATGATAGCAATACCTAGCAAGCAAAAGATAACAAGAACAATAATAAATAACAGCAACAAGAAAAATTCTACTCAGAAGTATAAATAAAAGCTGTAGACAACAAATCCCAGAATGTCACTCTTGCTTATATAGATTACATTTTTTGTGCTCTGTGTATTACAATGAATATTATGATTTATTCATCATTTAATTTAAAGCTTTTGGCATGTTGAAGTCTGT